CCACCCTCTCCAATGTCATACAAAGTCTAATTTCATTATTTGTGCCTAAAGTCATCATTACCAGATGGTTCTGGTGTCATGTCTATCTCCCTTGATTTTACTATGGTTAATATGGCTGGTGTTTACAATGCATCTTCGTGAAAGCTCTAAAATGTAAAATCCAAATCGTTTGCATTATGAGAAAGAGGTGCTTCCCTTTTTCTTCCAAACAGCCTATAGTGCACTCGTGTAATAGTTAAAAACACTGCATGAAGTCCATGTTGAGTAATGTTTTTAACTAAGCTGAAGGAAAAAATACATTGGTATTAATATTAGAGACGTAAGAATGGAAATTTTCTACTTTGAAGTAAATCACACCATCCCTTGCTTCTTAGTATGTTCAGCTCTTTCAACTAGCCAAAATCCTGAAAACAATGCTCACTAACTCAGCATTTGACGACAAATTCAGTTCGTAGAGAACATTGCTTTTCTTATACTTATTTCTTTCTTTGCAAGTACTCTGAGATCATCTTGCATTAGTGCAGCTATGAGAAGAATTGCTTACCAGGAATAGGTGCAATATCATCCCCTTGATGAAGGACCCATGCAATAGCAAGTTGAGCCGGAGAGCAACGATGCTTCTTCGCTATTCCTTCCAGACGAAAATATATAGATTTGTTCTTTTCAAAGTTCTCTCCAGTAAACCTAGGATGTGTAACCTGATAGAGGGTAAATGTATTCCAAATTCACAAGCGTACGTCAAAAATGGATTCATGCAACAATATTATAATAATAGTGAAAAACAGAAATAATGTAGAAGTAAAATAAAATTTGTCTGTTTTCTTACCAAAAAGCTGTTAGCGGGCAAGCTTTCAATAACCGCTTTTCCAGCAAAAAGCCCACGTCCAACAGGGCCATATGGAACAATCCCAATTCCAAGCTCCCTAGTAGATTCAAGATAGAAAGAAAAGTAACTTTAATATTTCTCAGCATCGCTATCCATTAGCTTTTTCTATTTAGTCCTTCATAATTCTGATTGGGAAGGAGGAAATAATATATTTTCGTACAAAAGAAAACAACAATAAAAATGACTAATAAATATCTCCCCCGGACATGCCCCTATTTCAGTTAAATAGTACTCCTTTGATTTCAAGGTACTTTTCTTTTTGAAAATGTATAATGTAGTATAGAGAAACCTGCAAACTGGAACTATATAATCCTCAATGTCACGCGTCCATAAGGAATACTCCTGTTGTACAGCAGTGATAGGATGAACTGCATGTGCTCTCCTTATTGTCTCCGGGTGAGCTTCAGAGAGGCCTATATACTTTATTTTACCTTCTTCAACTAACTGCTTAAGTTCTTCCATCTGTAACAAATCTCACCACAATAAGGAAAAATAAAGATAAGTGAAAAGCAGAATCAGAAAATTAGCTTATCAGCAAACTGTGACGTGGTTAATGGAAAAAAGACAAAATAAGACATAAAAATGCTTCATGGAAAAAATAAAAGCAAGATTCTTCATTAGGAATGCCAGCATTGTTGGCGACCCCCTACTCATAGCAGATGAATTTTGTGTGGGCTAAGTAACTAAAGTTGAACCATAAATTGGCAAAGCACTTACTGTTTCTTCAATGGGCACTGTTACGTCTATACGGTGCACATAGTAGAGATCAATGCAATCCACTTGTAGGCGCTTCAAGCTAGCTTCACAGCAGGCACGAACATATTCTGGAGTTCCTTTCACTGTAATCTTAGTTGGTTCAATCTTATAAATACCAAACTTTGTGGCAAGCTGTATTTTTTCTCGAGGCAATTGCTTTAATGCCTGAAACAGTGAAGTTATTAGACGGATTACAGACTACTTAAGGAAAACCAAACAGCTATTTAACTGAATAACAATGGGTCTTCCTAATTCTATTACCTCGTGTAGAAGACGATCTGAACATGAAGAACAGAATTCAATTTTCTTCAGTCCAACATTGTCGGTTATATATTCATAAATTCTGCATTAACATTTATCTTCCATTTTTCTTTTTCGTCAACTTAAGATATGCTAGAAGGGAAAATTGAACTCTTCAAATCTATATATTCTACTGTGAAAAGTATGACTTAGTTAACGATTCTAGAAAGAAGTTTGTAGCAACTTCTCTTTTTTCATACTGAAAAACAAAATTAGTCCGACAGGACAGTTATCTGAGCAAAGCATGAGAAAAATGGTAATCCTCTCATCTTTGAGAGTCATATAGTTGGACCAGCCCTTTTCAGGTTATACTAAAGAGAGCATTATATGTATCTCGTAGAGACTGTAATACTGGAGGAGACCTGTTCACCAGAATCACCACTTAGACAAACCATATGGAATTGTTCAAGAAAAAAAAAATCTCTGTAATATTGTACTACATCTTTAATGTGTTCATCAGATAGTGTAATACTAGTAGCCTCAACAAGTGATTGCTTCTATGGACAAAACATTTAGTTGAAATTGAACTGCTAAAGAAAAATGCATCTTGTGATGATCATGATTCATGAGTAGCCAATTGTCTGTATTTACCTTCCCGACCAAGAATTCATTCGCATGATCCATGCCATAAATGTCGGACGTGTCAAAAAATGTGACTCCTTTACTAAAAGCCTCCTTAATTATTGCAATCCCTTCCTCCTCGGGAAGAGGAGCATTATAGACTCCAGTAAGCCCCATACAACCGAAACCTAATTTGGAGACCTAGAAACAAAGGTTTGCATGCCGTCAATGACCATGACTATCATATAAATAATAACTGAAAAAAGAAACATCTTTATGAATGGGAAATAACAGCTATGTGGGATTATACTGGGTTTGTTGTTGTTGTTGTTGGGAAATAACAGCTAGAAAGCAAATTACTGCATCCATTTTGGAAAGGGAACAGTGTCCTGCTTCATTCAAAGTATAATAAACTTGTCTATCAAATTCAGATGAGAAAGTTCATGAAATTTGGCTTCTGATCCAAACTGTAAGTTGATCATGGTTATGTTTAAACAACAAATGTAGCAACAAATCACTGATCCAGAGGGGTTCTGTAGGTTCAGAATCCATGGCATTCACCTCGAACCATAAATAGTTTTACATATACATATAAATATACACATTAATATATAAAACAAGTAAAGCTAGAGTCAGATACATATATGAACCCCATACTCCCAACTCAGATCCCACGGCGTTCAAATCTTGGATCCTTCACTGGGACCAATTAAGATGGCAAATGTTGATGCTTAAAAGCTCTTTGAGTAGAGATGTTATAGGTAAAAGAGCGCCATTCTTCCTTAAAATAAATTCATACTATGGTTCAATACAATGACAAAACAATAATGTTCACATTACAGAAATAAAGTACTATGTCGTCTCCTTCTGAATTCCACGATAGACAAGTTAAATCTCACCACTAATGTGTAAAAACCAACCGAAATCAAAGTAATCTAATATCCAAAATAAAAATATCCAAAGACTTGATTTGACCAAAAAAAAAGGGTCAGCCCGGTGCATTAAGCACAAGGGTTTATTGCAAGACAGCTGCAAATATAGTAAATTGTCCAAAGAAAGAACCACATGGCCTGAAGTTTTACCTCAAGTCCTTGGCTTCCCAATTTTACTCTTGGCATCTCAACTGCGTCCGCCATTGCTCAATTGAAGAAGAAGAAGAAGAAGAAGAAGAAAGAAAACTCTCTTAACTCTTTTTGCTGTTTTCTTCTTTTTTGGGCTTTTCTCAACTAGTATGACTAAAATTGAGTAAATTTGCACTCATTCAATGCAGATATATACACTTTCACCATCTGTGTCCCCCCCTCCCCCCCANGGGGTGGCTTGCGTCAACGATTACGTTAAGCCTTCTATCATTATATTTTTATTTTTTATTTTTGTTTCTGCTCATTTGAACTTTGGATAAGAAATATAGTTACTTCGATCACCCAAAAGAGGTTTAAAAAAAGCTACATCTAATCCCAATTATCTCCCTCTAATTCAAACTATATGTTATAATAGTTGGTAAATATTTTGTTTTTCATATTTAATTTGAAAGTCAAATTCTTGTTGTCGTTGACTTCCAACATCTTCAAAATATACTTATAATTAGCTATAGCAAATTGTGACACAAAATACATTTTATATAACTCCCAAATATTCTCATTAAATGGTGGCGTTCGGATAACGAATGTCAATGTCTCTATTTATATATCGTTATGAGATTTGACATCAATTTTTTAATTCTTTTCGAATGCAATTGTATTGAGAAATCAATGTGTTAGCTTCACAAAATAATCTGCTGCGTTTTAGAGTTGAAAATGGCCGATATATAAGGAGTAATTTCGATATTAATTTTCTAAACACCTTTTATCATTATCTTTGTCCTTTATAACATGTCCGAGACTAATCAATGGGGTGAAATTAAAAGGAATTGACGAACTAAAAGTAACATTTAACTGCATCAAATTTCTCAAATCTTATTTTGACTCTTATTTTTCTCAGTATCACAAACAGGACCATAATTTGCAAAGAAAACAATGCCACAAGTCTTTTTCTTGATCAGTTCTAATTCCAACTATATATTTTAAGTTTCATAAAAATGTTGTCATATACTTTAAAATTACTATAGCTCTATTTTAGAACTGATTTTTTCTTTTATTCGGTTGTATGAAATGTTGATATATTGTTATTGTATGTGGCATTAAATTTCTAAATTCAGGAAATAATTTATGAATAAGATTTTTTAAATTTATTTAGCACCATTTATCTTCAAATGAAGTACCATAGCTGATGTTGTTAAATTGACTAAATAAGGAGTTTCAATATTCTTGAGACTTCAAATGTTTAACATATAGATACCTTGTGATGATTTCTCAGAATATTTGAAAATAATAAAAATACACAAATATTATGAAAGTACATAAAAAAACTAAAATTGTTAAGAATTTTTCAGTGTTTTAAAATTAATATTTTCTATTATTTTCTCCACAAAACACAACTTTTGCTTTCTATTTATATGTTTTTCTCAATTACTTTTGTATTTTATGATAGTTACTAATTCCAAGGATACTAAACAAAAATACCAAACACAAGTTTTTGACTGCCAACTAGCAGGCCAAGATGTTTACATTTCTCTAATACAAAGGAAGTAGAGAACGAAGAAGTATCATAAAAAAATTTAAAAAAATCTATAACTTGAATTGGATTTTCAATATTTGGTATTCTTGAAACTATTATTATATCATTGAATTACAAATGTATTACTAAAATACATAGAGAACTAAAAGTTGTGAATATTTGTGTTCAATATTTTGAAAGTAATACTTTCCTTGGTGAAAAGGAGTGTCACCAAGGATTATGATCAAAGTGGACATGCAAAAAGTCGACTCATTGGAATGGATTTTTCTGGAGCAGATCTTGTCAAGTATGAATTTCCCAGAGAGGTTCATCACATAGATTAGAAGTTGCATCAGAATTGTCTCCTATTCAATAGTTATAAATGGAAATCCAACACTACCATTTAAGGCAAAAAAAGGGCTCAGGCAGGGTGATCTTTTATCCTCTTACTTGTTTGTACTTGCCATAGAGTATCTTACTAGATTGCTCAGAACACTAAAGGGGAATCCAAACTGCAATTATCATCCTAGATACAAAAAACTGGGCATAATACAATTAGGTTTTGCTGATAACCTCCTCATGTTTTGCAGAGGTGATGTGGTATCAGCTAAGCTACTATTTGATAACTTTCAACAGTTTTCCAAGGCCTCGGGACGGATAGCTAACATAAACAAAAGTAGTATATACTTTGGAGGAGTACCTAACCATGTGCAGCATGAGATAGTACAACAACTTCGATTCTTTATTGGTACTTTGCCTTTTAAGTACCTTAGAGTACAATTAAGCTCCAAAAAGTTGGTTGTAGCACAGTACCAACCTTTGATTGATAAAATGCTTGGAATAATAATCAATTGGACTGTAAAGTTTCTATCATATGCAGGGAGGTTGCAACTGATTAAAAGTGTGCTAATAGCCATTCAGTTTTACTGGTCTCAGATATTCTTGTTGCCTAAGAAGGTCATCAACAAGTTGAATGTAATGACCCAACCGGTTATTTTTACTTTTAGAATTCCGTTCCCCTAAATAAAACTCCCCGTATGTACTTTTATAAATTTATGACTTGCGGGGATGGCTGGTTCGGGATTTGGAAGTGTTCGGGTTGAAATCGGAACACTTGGTTCCTTAAGTTGGCCTTAAAATGCTAAGTTTGACTTCGGTCAACATTTTAAGAAAATAACCCCGGAATAGAATTTTGATGATTCCAATTGCTCCGTATGGTATTATTGGACTTAGAAGTATGTTCGAAATTTTATTTGGACGTTCGTAGTTAAATTAGACTTAAAATAAATAAAATAGGAATTTAAGTTTAGAAGTTTGACCAGGGAGTTGACTTTTTAATATCGGGGTCGGAATCCAGTTCCAAAAATTTTTATAGCTCCGGTATGTCATTTATGACTTGCATGCAAAATTTGAGGTCAATCGGACTTGATTTGATATGTTCCGGCGTCGATTGTAGAAATTGAAAGTTTCAAAGTTCATTAGGCTTGAATCTATGTGTGATTCGTGTTTTTATTGTTGTTGGATGTGATTTGAAGACTCGACTAAATTCATATGATGTATTAGAACTTTTTGGTATATTTGGTTGAGGTCCCAAGGGGCTCGGGTAAGTTTCGGATGCCTAACGGATCATTTTTGGACTTGGCTTGATAGCTGAAGTTCTGGTTTCTGCAAGTTTTGGTTTCCTTCTACGTGATTACGTGAGAAGGTATGCGATCGCGTAGGGTTAATTGAGGGTTGTTGAGTTTTGTGCTTCGCGATCGCGTGAAGCGGGATACGATCGCGTAGCTTTGATATTTTGTGACTCGCGAACGCGTGAAGAAGGCCGCGTTCGCGTAGAGTAACAAAGCAGAAGTGGAGGTCACGCGTTTGCTCTATGTGATCGCGTGAAGAGGGCGGCGATCGCGTAGAGCTGGGAACTCTGTGCTTTGCGATCGCATGGGGATATCCGCGATCGCGTAGAGTTAATTCTGGGCAACCTTATTTTGTTCTTCGCGATCGCGTGCCTTTGGCCGCGATCGCATAGAAGAAAAAGCCCAGGCAGAATGTTTAAGTTCTGCATTTTTAACGATTTGGAGCTCGGATTGAGGCGAGTTTTGGGAGATTTTCAGAGAAAAAATCGGGGTAAGTGTTCTTAACTCAATCTTGGTTAGATTACCTGAATCCATCACTGTTTTTAACAATTAATTGGTGATTTAAGTTGAAAATTTTTGAAAACCCTCTTGGATAAATTTGAGGGTCGAATTATTATTGGAATTTAGTCATTTTAGTATGGTTAGACTCGTGGTTGAACGAGCGTTCATATTTCGTAACTTTCGTCGGATTCCGAGACGTGGGCCCCACGGGCAATTTTTGAGTTAATTTCGGATTTTATTTAAAATGTAGTATTTTCTTATGGAATTGATTTTACCATTTTTGTTGACTGTATCGAATTAATTATGACTAGATACGAGTCGATCGGAGTCGGAAAATCGAGAAAAAGGCATATTACTTGGTTAAATTGGAGCAAGTCGAGGTAAGTGACTTGTCTAACCTTGTGTGGGGGAAATTTTCTCTAGGATTAGTATTGAAGTAATAAATTAAAATGTGTTGAAAGTCATGTACATAAGGTGACGAGTGTGTACACGGGCTAAATGTGAAAGATCATGTCTTTAAATTGTGTAGATCGTTGTTGCATATTAATTAAATAATTTTACCTTGTTATATTCTTCATCATTGATTTAAATGTTTAAACTTTAAATTTGCTTGAACATTTTCTGCTAATTGTTTTACGTGTTTAGTTGAAACTTGGCTTCTTTTATTCTGTGCATTATTTGAAGGGTGATTTTCTTTAAATTAAATATTATTAATATGAATTATTTGACATTTTAAATTTGGTATTTAAGCAACGTACTAAAATTTTGAAATATTATTTTGTTGAATTATTTTGGCATGAGCCATGAGCTCTTTATTGTGGAAAAATATCATTGTTGGATTATTTTGGCATGAGCCGTGAGCTCTTTATTATGGAAAAATACTGTTGTTGAATTATTTTGGCAAATTAAAATATTTGGGCACTTGAGGTGTAAATTGTGATATATTGTGATATTGATACGCATGGGGTGGTATAAGGTCTGGATATTGAAACGCATGCGGTGAGATAAGGGTGGCTTGATACGTGTGGCTAGTAGGGGAGATTACTAGAAGTCATGCGGTGTGATAAGGATGGCTAAAACGCGGGATGCTATTTCGGAAAAAATNCCAGCCATTATTTATTTTTTTAGTAGGGCCTGACCTGACCTCGTCACTACTCTACCGAGGTTAGGCTTGGTACTTACTGGGTACCGCTGTGGTATACTTATACTATGCTTCTGCACATCTTTTTATGCAGATCCAGGTACATCTTACCAGTTCAGACATCAGTGAGTTACCGGTGTACGGAGACTTCGAGGTATATCTGCCAGCGTCCGCAGACTCCGGAGTCCCCTTCTATCATTATCATGTTGTTTCCTTATTTCTTTAGACCTTGATATACAGAGACATTGAGGATAAATTCTTAGAAGCTTGTGACTTATTTCTACCAGGTTTTGGGAGTTATAAATTATTTGATTTGTATTTTATTTATTTCAGATATTTATTATTATTCTGCATTGATAGACTTACCTAGTCTTAGAGACTAGGTGCTATCACGACCTGCTA